GCCCAGATGGTTTCCGGCCCTTTTTTTCCAAAAATATTGGAATGTATTGGGGGCTGATGTCACGAGATGGGTGCTAAATGTTCTTAATCTTGGTGCATCTCTTCCCGACTGCAATCACACCCATATTGTCTTAATCCCCAATACTCCAAACCAGAAAGGATGGCTCAATTACGGCCTATATGCCTTAGCAATGTGGTGTACAAGTTGGTATCAAAATGTATTGTAAATCGTCTTAAACCGTTGATGAACTCTATTATATCGGAGGCGCAGTCGGCTTTTATTCCCGGCCTATTAATATCTGATAACATATTTATCGCATATGAAGTGACACATTACATGAAGCGAAGTACAGCTGAGCATATGGCGGTGAAGTTAGATATGAGTAAAGCCTATGATAGGGTCGAATGGGATTTTCTGCGAAAAGTGATGATAAAACTGGGTTTTGATCATCAAGTGGTGGAGCTGATCATGAGATGCGTTACTACAGTTTCTTATTCATTTATTCTTAATGGGGGTTCGTTTGGACTGGTAACTCCGGAGAGAGGGCTTCGTCAAGGTGACCCAGTTTCACCGTACTTATTTCTTTTTAGCGCTGAAGCTCTATGCTCGTTGTTTAATCGAGAAAAATCAAAGGAGAACATCGTGGGGTTATCGGTGTGTAATGGAGCACCGAAAATATCGCACCTCATGTTCGCAAATGATACTATTATTTTTCGCAATGCTAATGCACATTCTGCCTTGAGCATTAAAAATATTCTATCAGATTATAAGAGTGCTTCGGGCCAAATGATTAACTATCAAAAATCAAGTATCGTCTTTAGTAAAAAAACGAGGAGTGAATCCATTGAGGCAGTACAATCGTTTCTCTCCATGACTATTGTGGACCGTCATGAGCGTTATTTGGGTCTTCCGTCAGTGATCAGCAAATCCAAAAGGTCAGTTTTTTTAAATATTCGGGACAATATTTGCCAAAGATTAAAAGGATGGAAAGAGAAGCGGTTGTCCAAAGGGGGAAAAGAAATTTTGCTTAAAGTTGTGGCTCTGGCAATTCATTCTTATGCAATGGGGAGTTTTAAACTCCCCTCATATTTTTATAAGGAGATCGAACAACTTATGGCCCGATTTTGGTGGAAAGATACAAAAGGGCGAGGCATTCATTGGGTAAAATGGAGAGAATTATGCAAAAGCAAGCAGTCCGGAGGTTTGGGATTTCGAGACCTCGAAGCTTTTAACATGGCTCTTTTGTCTAAACAATTGTGGAGATTATTAGAGACACCATCGAGCCTAATAAGTAGAATATTTAAGGCTCGGTACTATCCAAATTCGAATGTACTTGAGGTCAAACTTGGGTCCAACCCGTCCTATACGTGGAGAACTATATTAGGCTCAAAATATATCATTGATTATGGTCTACGATGGCGAGTGGGTAACGGAAAATCTATTTCCGTTTGGAGGGACAAGTGGTTGTCGAGGGAATTCACATTCAAACCAATTCCCTATAGAGGTGTTCTCCCATTGGACATGCGGGTTTGTGACTTGATTTTAGAGGATGATAATCAATGGAATATTAAGCTCATTAAAGAGCACTTTGTTGAAGAGGACTGGAAGGAAATTTTGTCTATTCCACTAGGGAGGGACGGAAATGAAGATGTGTTAGTTCGGCATTATAACAAAAATGGGCGATTTTCGGTTCATAGTGCATACCATATTGCATATCGAGAAGAGGAGATGAACTTAAATCCAACATCTAGTAGCTCTTCCAGAAACAATGGGTTTAGCTGGAAGTGGCTTTGGGAAATGCAGCTCCCCACTAAAATCAAGATTTTTACATGGTGTGCATGCAATAACCTGCTTCCCACAAAAGATAACTTAAGGAAACGAAAAATTCTGTCGGATGACTTTTGTGCAGCGTGTATTACAGTTGGTGAAGATTTATCTCATAGCTTGGCTTTTTGCTCCTTCTCGAGACAAGTTTGGGCGTTAAGTAACATCCCGATGAAGGTGTATAATTGGGTAGGTACAACGGTGAAGGAATGGATCCTTTATATGAGGAGGTCGACGGATGACGGTCAATTCCGCAACTGCATCTTGATTTGTTGGGCGTTGTGGTCGTTTCGAAATAAAAAACTACATGAAGCAGTGGTAGTGGAAGCAATGGAAGTTGTTACTTTCGTTCGGAAATACGTTGAGATGTTGAATAGTCCTACTGCAAGAGTCCTTCATGTGACTAGATCCAATCCGATTCCCAAATGGAGACGCCCTGAGTCGGAAGTGATTAAGCTGAATTTTGATGCATCAGTAAACGTAGCGTTGGGAAGTGTGGGTATTGGAATAATGGCGAGGTCTCATATGGGAGAATGCATAGGTTGGTCGTCACATTGCTTGTTGCAAAGTCTTGGTCCAACGTCGGCGGAAGCTAAAGCTACATATTATGCGATGATCTTTGCACGAGAGAAAGGTTGGCGAAAAATTATTGTGGAAGGTGACTCAAGTATTGTAATATCATCGATTAATTGTGCCACAGAAGATCGATCAATGCATGGGACTATTATTGCAGATATTCTTGTTTCTAAGGGCTGGTTTGATGGGTTCTCTGCTAGGCATATTAATAGGAGGAAATCAAGTTGCTCATGAAGTAGCTCGACTTTCAATTAAGGGTCCATATCTTTTGACGATTCTTCCTTTGGTGATTCAAAATATAGTAAACTTTGAAGCTGAAGATTAATATAGACCAAGTTGTCTCTAAAAAAAAAATTAAATAAAAAATAAAAAAACTTAAATGACATAATTTAGGGTTCAAATCATGCTCCTCTTCCACTTCCCCATTTTGCAATCTGAAGTGTTAAATCCCACATTAATTTTACCAAATCCTGCATACAACAGAAAATATTTATCTCTCTAAAATCTTCTCTTCTCCTTCTCTACCTTTCTTCTTTTTCCCTATTTTTTTCACAAAATGACACACTAAAAATGTCCCTAGCATTCCAAGTTCCAATTTGAGAAAAATCTTCACGTGTCCAAACTAAAATAAAGTTGGAATTTGAGAAAAAAAAAATCGAATTGATATGAATTTGAATAATTAAAAAAGCTGAATGAAATTGAATAGATATTGAACTCATTTTTTATGATTATTCACGTAAAACATTAATGAATTTTGAGTGACTAGGATAAAATTATCTTAGAGAGAAGTTAGAAAGAATATGACTAGAGAGAGAATTTTTTTTTAATTATGTGTGGGATTTAGTAAATTTTAGTGTGATTTAGCACGCCCCTTTTGCAATATGGTTGCAATTTTAATTCAAACAAAATTTTCGTAAAAAATGTTTTATGCATTAGATTTTTTTTCCACATATAAAAGAAAAAAAAATGGCGTTTCAGAAAAAAATAAGAGAAAAAAAACTATTCCAAATTACCAAAGTAGCCCATTTTCAGAAAATGAATAAATAAACAAATGAACGACCGAGATGGCTGCGTAGTAAAAATCACGGACTGTTATCACACTTTGCAGAGGTGATTTCTGCAAAAGCAGAAACCACCTCTGCAAGAAGCGATTTCTGCAAAGCAGCTTCCACTTTATTTCGGTCAACAATAATAGAGAGGAGGAGGTTGTGGGGTGGGGCCAATCTTGCATTTATTGGCAGGTGAAGTGGAGGGGAGTTTGCTTTTACTCCCTTCTCTTCTTCTTCATTCTTCACAAATTTTCAACACAGAATTTTCAACACAGGTATTCTATGAACTCTTTTTTTTTCTTTAGCAAATTTTTTAACTTTTTTTTTAAATAACGTTGTTTAATTTTTTTAAAACACGTGGTTGTTATTATAATGTTATATTAACTTAATCTGTTTATTTATATATTTTCAGTTTTGTAACAGAAAATTATAAAATACAGGTATGTTTAGTTAGTTTTTTAATTTGTTTTTGAAATATTGTACTAATTTTAATTTCTTTTGCAGAAGGTGAAAGTAAAAATACGAAGGTATGTTCTAATATGTTTAGTATATGTAATTTTTTCATTTTAATTTGTAAAAAATTGAATGTACTTTTTCGTGTTTTATTTGTTGAGTTATTTCATAGTGTGTGGGTTGAAGAAACGGACCAATTTAATGATGTTGTTTGCTTAATTTTAAGTTATACTTAAAATTTAATTAAATATATATATAAATTTAATTCGTGAGTTGATTTATATATATATTTGTAGATAATTTTAGGTAATTTTACATTCTAGTTCCATTTTTATAAAATTAGTTAGTTTTCAACTTGTTTTTTGGTTGGAGCATAATTGCTAAAATAACATATAATTGAGTAGTGTGTGTTTTCAAATTTTTTTGTGTGAATTTTTTTTCCAACTTGTACTATTTTTTTTTTTTTTTTTTTGTTAGATTGCAATTCAACGGGAGGATCGAGTTGTATCCAAAGAACAAAGTGATTGTTTAACATCTAATCATATACTAATTTCAGGTATTTTAAAGTGCTTTTTAAAAATTTATGACATGTTATTCATTGCGTAAAATGTGGTATAGTATAATTATTAGCATAATATAATTATGTTGTTTGGGTTTTGGAACTGTATATAATTAAAGAATTTTAATATTAATTGTTTGATAATAATTTTTTTAATTAATTATATTTGTTTTCACCATAAAAAATAGATGAATTTAATGGCACCTAATAAGAGCCGAGTCAAAGTAATCGTGTATACTTGGGGTAATATAATTCAAGATGATTGGTCGGTGGAATACGATTGTCCTCACAAAGCAATTTTTCGAATGAGAAGGATACTTCTTTCCAACTACTATTATCGAACTTTTTCGCTTATATGGGGATAGGGTTAACACATTGATTTAATATACGAACTTTGCATAACACATTGCAGTTGGTTGCATCCTTTGAGTTATGTTCACACTGTTAGTCATTCAGTTCGCATATATAGAACAATGCTTGATCAAATGTTGCCAAATCAGGTTCGTGAATTTGCTAATAATGTTGATAATGGTGTTGATAATAATGTTGATAATATTCGCAAATGTCCTAATATTTTTTTATAGTTCATTTGGATTCCATATAACACCACTGATGTTGAGTACCAAGAATTGGCTTCGGATTCGACGATTGTTTCACCATTACTTTGGATGTTTAGTTGTTCACTTATTTGTTATTCACGAGTGGAGATGCATCGTCTGAAGAGAGTATTACGACAGTTCGGGATGGTCCAGCCAATTCCGTCGCATCCTACGGATGTTGTTATTTCCAACAAATTACATGATTTGACTCGTCAAGGTCGATCGGGCCTGCATTGGAGCGAGTATTTGAGTACATATGTTGCTAAATGGCAACAAAGATTTCAGAATGTCGTCCCATTTCAACCAATCAATGGACAAGATACAGAGGATGGTTATGAAGCATGGTATGATGAGCACACTCGTCGTTTTATATCACCGATTAACGATTTGACGAGCATTGGTTTTCAGACTGGAGATCGGACAATTATGAATTTGGTGGTACGTAATTTTATGTCAATAATGCAATTACATACAACTACTCGATTTCTATAACTTATTTTATAATTTATTTCAGGCTACTCGACTAGCCTCAATGAACACCAATATACCAGAAATGCAGCCTATGATCAATATGCTCAACAGGACCGGGATGCCTTCTACGGGTGCCTCGAATGGAGGAAGAATGAGAACTCACAACCGCACTCAATGGTCTACAAGAGAAAGGAATGATTTCACCTCCCGAGATGAAGATGTGACCGGTCCTTCCACGTACCGAGATTATGCCGGTCCTTCCTCATATCGAGATGAGGCCGGCTCATCCACACATCGAAATGAGCCCGGTACTTATCCCGGTTCTACTGATGATGTTTATATTCCGACACCAGTAACTCCATACCAGCCTGCCATGAACATGCATTCAGATAGTGAATTTTTGGATCTCAGTTTAGGATATTACCAAGGTGACCATCCTACACATATGCATTTCAATATTTCTCCCGTTCCCTATCACCTCCAATCACCTCAAAGTCATTCTACCGAGAACTATGTTGCCGATGCTATTGAAGAGGATATTGCGCAAGAACCTGTGGGTAGAGTGCGTAGAAACAAGCGTCCGCCTAGAGGTGGGACCGGTGGATATCTCGGACGTCATTGATGCTTTTTTTTTAGTAGTTGACATTGTGTATTTTATATCTATGTATTCTTACATTTATCTAATTTTTATTTAATTATGTATGACGTTAAATTTTAAATTCTCAATTTAGAAAAGAAAAAAAAAACTATAATATTATATATATATATATATATATATATATATATATATATATATATATATATATATATATATATATATATATATATATATATATATATATATTGTTGTAAATAATATGGAAATATGGGTCTTCCTATCTTAACACGTGAGAAGTTGTAACCTCCATTCCACTATAGATTCTCAATTTCTCACTACCCCATTATCCCCACACATTGTAGTGGTTGTAACTCCTATGTAACTCGTTTGTAACTTCCGGTGGATTACATCTATATAAATGAGAATCTCCTCTCCCCTAAATACCCACAATTATCACTCTACGGATCTTGTTTACTTGTGTTCTCTCATTCTCTCTCTATTATTGTTATTATGTTCTTATGTGTTTCCACAATCACAAACCAAAGAGCTAGATTAAATAGACGATTTTACAACACGTTATCAGCACGAAGTGCTCGTCGTTATTGTGGAAAGACAATTGTTCGTGGGGCAAGGATACTCAAAGAATTCGAGGTGCTCGTGGAAAGGTAATTGTTCATGGACAAGGTTACTTGGAGAACTTGTGACGCAGGTTTATATGTGAAACGGTAATCTCGGAAAAATATATTAATACCCTTCGTTATATTTGGATTTAAGCATTTCAAATAAACTTTAATCTCCTTGCAACGTTGATTTCGTAAGAGATGCATGATAGATCTATTTAATGGCATGAAATATGTGAATAAAATTTATGTTCAAGTCATTACTTAATTTATACCGTGGATAATTTGAATATATGATCTGATTGGTAATCTTTATTCTATAATGTGATTAAAATGTCTTGTTATTTCATATAATAATTGTTCTAAGCATATGAAATACTATTTTATTATTCGGCAAAAGTATTGTATGTTCAAATATGAAATACTGTCATGAATTTTGCCGTCTCAATCATGCTATATGATTGTATGTATTTTGCTATATGTGATGATTCAATGTTTGAGATTCAAAGTGATGAAATCTGGTATATATTCTTTTGTCTCGTGCTCTTAACGTATTATCACTTATGCCTAATGTGATTGTATGAATTCTGCGTTATAGATATGATTAGGTAATTGGTAATTAACTATCTCAGTCATTTCAAATTGGTTCATGGAATTTGTATGAGTTATAATACATGATAATTATGATTTATATCATGACAAGTTATACGGTTTTGGTTATCTTTTATACCAATATTAGAGCATGCTATATGTCTTTAATGTTTGACAAATTTTCATTGTCTTAATTGCATGAAAACATTGGTGCATCTCTAATGGAGAATTCTATTCAATCGATCCATCATTTATCTACCATATGTAATTTTGTGATAAAAAAAAATGGTAAGCAATATTTCGTTTGTCGTTATGGTTTATCATATGAAATCCATGAATGTGTATGGGTTGGAGATCGTGCATGTATACGCAGCGGAATTTAAAAATTTTAGATCGAACTAGTTTCGATTACATGCAAAACTAATCACATAGTCAACGTACCTTAACGCTTCCGCCATACATATGGTAATTATCGATTTAATTGAAAAATACATAAAACCGAAAATCACGAGACATGCTTGTTCATCATTCAATGAAATCGAAACACGTAATCACATATTACTCACAATCATAAATTTTAATTCATACAAACATGCTCGAATTAATTTACGGAAGTTTCGATTTATTTACCTCTTGTAGCGTGAGATTTCGACGAATCGAAACCTAGAACGAATCACGTACAAGCTGCAAATTACCAATCCTCGGGGCTGCAATTCACGGCTGGAACAAGCTGATCCAGAAAGCGACGAACGGCGGTGAACGGCAGCAGCAACGGCGGCGCGTGGCAGCAGCAGCGGCGGCGCGTGGGCGGCGTAGCGGCGCGTGCGGCGGTGCAACGGCGGTGCGTGGATTCGTCGGGGCAGCAGCTCCTCTCCAATTAGGTTTCACCTCGTATTTTCGACCAACTCGAACTACAGGACTAGATGTAAACGAGTTAGATAACAACACGAATAAAACGAAGGCAAAAGAGGAGAAAACCGGCGGTGTTTCCGGCGGTGGTCGGCGGTGGCGCGTCGGGGCAGCAACGGCCGAAGGGGGCTGAGCGGCTAGGGTTTTGGTGCTGAAAATCTGATCTCAAACTCTTGTTTGAGGTCTATTTATACCTAGGGTTTTCAACCCTAGCGGGCTTAAGTCATTGGGCTTGACCCACTGATGCATTAAGCCCATCCCCTTGTCGGCCTCGTTTCTAATAAACGATCGTCCACAAAATTATAACAAAATTATATTTGTGACGAGCTCAAAGTCCTCCTCGATACGAGTGCCTCTTCGAAATTTCCAATTTCCAAAATTGGAAACTTCCACTTCAGTGGACTTGCTAAATCGGGAAACTTCCCAATTTAGAAAGTTCACTAAATTCCGCATGTCTCTCTTTCTCTACGTTTATTCCAATTCGCAATTCACAATTACGAATCTTGGATTCAATCATATCGACATCCAATCGTTCAAAGATTAACACATTAATCTATGCTTGTTGTTATCAAGGATCTATATTACACGAGAAGTGTGACCCTCAATGGTTCAGGTGTATGCTAGCCGTGGGCTCACAACTCTTTGTGATTCGAACAACACATTGTTCTTATACGAACTCCTCCCAAGAGTCCCGATTAGAGTAAAACTCATTTTACCTAATCCTCGATCAAGTCGGTGCCCAACGAATCAAGATTGGCGTCTAGCAACTACGCATCATGATTCCCTAGATACAAGTGAAGTGCCTGCAAGAACCTTATGATATAGTTAGCGTACAGTACGATCCTTTCGTAGCACATGTCCCGATTGAACTAGAGGCATTGGTTCACCGAGACCTCTTATAAAGTTCAATAACCGTGCGAACGTTCTAGGTATTATAAATCCGTTCGTGTGCGACTTAGGGAAACACATTTCCCTAATCACCCCACTATCAACTCTGGCCAGAGATTCCATGGATTATAAACCGTCAGAACACACAGGACATCCATGACTACTCAAGCGCTCGAATCCCCTACTACAATGCACAGACTTCACACTAGATTTCGGATTGCACGAACGTTGGCCCTTGGAGCGGTCCGCGGTGGGACTCAGGGACAGGTCACGATACAATCGGTCCTCTAGTGAAGTCACGGTGATGTCTGGGTCTTAAGGACTAATGGTGTACAACTATATCTTAGAAACCTATTACTCGATGAATGAGAACCACTTATAGATTTCTAGGGCGAGGGAGTTCAGTGAACTCATCCAGTATGAGCACCCACTCAAGTATGCCGATGTCACAACACCGAGGACTGATGAGACGCAGTACACATACACTAAGTGCTAGTCTCAAAAGGGAAAGGCCGGTATCCTCATTATTGGCGTAACCCATCGACTAGGAACAAGGTTTAACAGTTACATTACATTGCTGAGTTATCTCACGATTCTACTAGATCAACTCACAGTAATAGAGTAACTCGTTAGGACTATATCTATGCTGCTTGCATGGGATAACAGATATAGAATGCCAAATAAGATATTTTATTATTACGAACGAAAAACGATTGTTTTATTACAAGGAAAAGAGAAAGACCACAACCACAAGTTGGCTTGCCGGTCACCTACTCTAACAATCTCCCACTTGACCTAAAGCCAACTACTCATAAATCTAAGTCCCATCGACTCTCGATGTTTCTCGTGGACTGATCCTGACAATGGCTTGGTGAAGGGATCTGCAATATTGTCCTCCGAGGTGACTCTGTCTAGCTTGACTTCACCTCTCTCTATGATCTCTCGGATCACATGGTATTTTCTCAACACGTGCTTCGACTTCTGATGAGCTCTTGGTTCCTTAGCTTGCGCTACGGCTCCGTTGTTATCGCAGTACAGCCGTACTGGATCGCTAGCGTTCGGAAATACACCCAACTCTTGGATGAATTTCCTAATCCATGACCCTTCCTTTGAAGCATCTGATGCTGCAATATATTCAGCCTCGGTGGTGGAATCAGCCGTCGTGTCTTGTTTGGAACTCTTCCAACACACGGCACCCCCGTTGACTTTGAATATATACCCCGAGTTTGACTTCGAGTCATCCACGTCCGATTGAAAACTAGAATCCGTGAAGCCTTCTAATTTCAACTCGGTATCCCCATAGACCAAAAACAAATCTCGAGTTCTTCGCAAGTACTTGAGAATGTCCTTCACAGCCTTCCAATGGGCTGGGCCGGGGTCGGACTGATATCTGCTTGTGACGCTCACAGCATACGCAATATCAGGTCGTGTACACACCATGCCATACATTATGCTTCCTATAGCGGATGCATAAGGTGTCCTTTTCAGCTCCTCGATTTCCATTTGCGTTTGAGGACGCATGGATTTCGAGAGACGAACCCCATGGGACATTGGCAAGAATCCCTTCTTGGATTCTTCCATGCTAAACCGTTTGAGAACGGTGTCTATGTACATGGATTGGGACAAGCCAAGCAATCTCCTCGATCTATCTCTATAGATCCGTATTCCCAATACGTAGGATGCTTATCCCAAATCCTTCATCGAGAAACGTGTGGATAACCATACTTTAGTCGACTGCAACATCCCTACATCATTCCCACTAACCTTCTTGTAGACACAAGGCTCCTCTGGGTTTTTCACAAATTCAAACTCTTTGATAGTTGTGTCGAACCTTTTGTTCCAACTACGGGATGCTTGTTTCAATCCATAAATGGATCGCTGGAGTTTGCAAACCTTTTGCTCATCTCCAGAAGATATGAAGCCTTCCGGCTGCGCCATGTAAATTTCTTCCTCAATGTCCCCATTAAGGAAAGCGGTCTTCACATCCATTTGCCATATCTCGTAGTCATACCACGC